TTTTTCAACTGTCAGTTTTTTGTTTCTATTTTCCTTGCAAAGAAAGATAGAACTGAGGCTATAAACCAGTGATGGCTAACCTTTTTGCCATTGCGTGCCAAGAGCAGTGGGGGGGGGGGGGGGCGTGCGCGTGTGCCCCCCTCCATATTTTTTTTTTTTATTTTATTTTCAATTTATATACCGCCCTTCTCCCTGAGGACTCAGGGCGGTGCACAGCCAGAATTAAAAACATGAAATACAAATATTAAAAACGATTAAAATCTATATAAATTTGGCCCAAAAATTTAAAAAACCACAAACCAATTAAACATTTAAAAAATTTAAAAAATTTCTTCCTAAGCCAGCCTGGCTTGCTGGAAAAAGTGGGTTTTAAGGGCACGGCGGAAGGCACTGAGGTCTTGGATTCTCCTTATCTCTGGGGGCAGCTGATTCCAGAGGGTAGGTGCCCCCACAGAGAAGGCTCTCCCCCTAGGGGTCACCAGCCTACATTGTTTGGCTGATGGCACCCCGAGGAGGCCCTCTCTGTGGGAGCGCACAGGTCGGGGGGAGGTCGTCGGTAGCAGCAGGCGGTCTCGAAGATAGCTAGGCCCGATGCCATGGAGCGCTTTAAAGGTGATAACCAACACCTTGAAGCGCACCCGGAAGACCACCGGGAGCCAGTGCAGCTCGCGCAGGAGCGGTGTTACATGGGAGCGCCATGCTTCTCCCATCACTATAATAATTCTATGCATCCCGCCCCCCCCCCCCATGCATGCGCGCCCCCCCCTGCACTCCCCCTGCTTTTGGCACGAGATGGCCCAGTGGGCCTGGTAGGCCCGCTTTTCGCTCTCCACAGGCTCCAGAGGCTTTCTTGGAGCCTGGGGAGGGCAAAAACAGCCTTCTCCACCCCCCCAGAGGCCCTCCAGAGGCCGGAAATGGACTGTTTGCCGACTTCCAGTGAGCCCAGAAGGCCCGAAAAACAGCTGGCTGGTGTGCTCATGAGTGCCAGAGCTGAGCTCGCGTGCCCACCGATATGGCTCTGCATGCCACCTGTGGCACGCGTGCCATAGGTTTGCCATCATGGCTATAGACAGTGCTGGGATTCAACCCACTTAAAAACCAGTTCGCCGAAAATGTGAGTCTGCGCGCATGTGGGGTGGAGCAGGGTGGGCGGGGCTAGCCGGTGGTCGATTTTACCGGTTCTCCAAACTGTCCAAAATCATAACAACCAGTTTGCCCGAACCGGTCTGAACCGGTTGAATCTCACTCCTGGCTATGGAGCTATATTATCTCCTGAAAGCCTCGGATTCAGTCTTCCTTACCCAAGACCTCCAGAAATGGTAGTTTTCAATGAGATAAAGGAACAGTTAAACATAAGAATATGTTAACAACAGTTAACATAACAACAGTTAAGAATAGACATTACCAGATGTAATTCTAATTAAATTTAAATGCAAATCAAATTAAACCAAATGTATATAGTGAGTTGGTTCTGGAAGCAGTAGGTGGTTTTGGCATGCAGCCTAGAAAAGAATGATGCCCAGTTGTTTTATGAAACCCCAGAGAGTTGTGGTCACCCAGCCAGCTTTCATGCCTAAGGCAGGACTAGAACTCACAGTCTCCTATGATTGGCCCAAGTTGTCTAGTTGGGCTGAATGCCTAAGGCGAGACTAGAATTCAACATCTCCTGGTGATTGGGCCAAAGTCATCCAGCCAGCTTTCATGCCTAAGTCAGGACTAGAACTCACAGTCTCCTGGTGATTGGCCCAAGTCGTCTAGTTGGGCTGAATGCCTAAGGCGAGACTAGAATTCAACATCTCTTGGTGATTGGGCTAAAGTCATCCAGCCAGCTTTCATGCCTAAGGCAGGACTAGAACTCACAGTCTCCTGGTTTTTAGGCCAGCACCTTAACCATTCCACTATACTGTTCTCAGTTAGAATATGTTCTGTCCAAATCTCATTTAGGTCATGGTTGTCCCTGTTGTGGTCTGCCAGCAGCCTGCGGAGCTGGCAGCGGAGTCGGACAGTGAGGAGGCTGAGGAAGAACATGGGCCAGACCTGGAGGCTGGGGAAGGCCCGGATGAGGACTCTGCGTCGGAGACAAAGATGTGGCCAGGGCCATCGGGGAGTGATGTGCAGACTCTGGAGCCTTCAGAAGAGCTGCCAGAAGGCAGGAGCACCTAAAGCAAAAACGACGATTCGGGAGTAAGGCCAAGAGATGATTGGGCCCTCCCATAAGGCTTAAAAGAGCAGCAACGGCTCTTAGGCTCTTTTGTCGGAAAACAACGTTGATAGATTTGTTTCTTGTCTTGCTGCATTTATTTCTTGTCGGCCTCTTCTGCTTCTGAACTTTTGCCAAGAAAAGCCTTTGTCCAGGTTGCCAAAGTAGACCAAGGTTGGTGATAAGGCTGAAGAATTGTGCTATGAAGAATTTGTTTTGAATTAGTTTGGACTACGCTGAGAATGAGTTAATTCTCAGCTGTTCTAATAAAATCTGTTTGTTTTAGAACTGATTGCGTCTGATAATACCTACTTGGGCCTAGGTCACAACAGTCCCAAAGGTGCTTTTTCAAGAGGCAACTGGACTTTCTTGTTATTCTCTGAAGACGTTTTGCATCTCATCCAAGTTTCTCATCCATGAAGCTTGGGTGAGAAGCGAAACGACTTCAACGAATAACAAAAAAAAGTCCACTTCCCTATTGAAAAAACAGGGACAAACGAAGAAGTAAATAATCAAATATAATATTCCTTTAATTCTGGTTTTCCTCCTTCTTCTCCTCCTCCTCCTCCTCCCTCCTCCTCCCCTCCAATTTTTAATTAAAAATAACATTATTATTTTACCCAACAAACATCTTCATCCAGGCTATTTTCGAATGATTCAAGTTCTAACTGTAGAAAGTTAGCACCCACCCCTCTCCTAGAAGAATGAAAAATTTTAGGAAATATTACAACGGCAGAATATTATATTTCCCTGGATGAGAAATGGAGAAACATGCTCTTGGAAAGTAGCCCCCACCTTTCTTAATAACCCTCAGCAGATGTCAGCACTTAAGAGATAAAGAGATAGATAGCTCTATTCATAAGCAAATACCCTCGCCCAAGATCCAACAAGGGTAGGATAAATCCTCAGCCACAATAGGAATTGCATAACTAGCCCCTTCATTGCATCAGCCCAAACATCAACCAAACGTAGCTCAGACAAACATGACCCCTACATGGCCCCATGGGAGTCTGACAACAGCCAATAGAATACATGTTCTTGCACAGGAACAGGAAGCTCAAGTTCAAAGCCCAAGAGGAGGTATAAAACCCCATCGCTCTCAATTCCATTTGGTCAGCTGCCCAGAATCACACATGCTTCATCAATAAATGGACCCTCTTTCCAATCAGCCTCCAGCCTTCATTTTGTCTCCAGTGCCTTTCTCCCGGCTCGGACCTGGACCTGGATATTTCTTCCAACATAACTAAAGAGCTTAGGAATCACGGAGAAATAGTTGTAGCGTGTAAGAAGTCTCAAGCATTTTTTTTAAAGTCAGTGAATTTAAAACTTCCAAATATTTATTGAAAAGTTATAGTCCCGTGATGGCAAACCTATGGCACACGTGCCACAGGTGGCACACGGAGCCATATCTGTGGGCACGCAAGCATTGCCCTAGCTCAGCTCCAGCGTGCATGCACGCCCTGGCCAGATAATTTTTGGACCTTCTGGACCCACCTGAAGTCAGAAAACGGGCCATTTCAGGCCTCCGGAGAGTCTCCAGGGGGATGGGGAAGACCATTTTCGCCCTACCCAGGCTCCTAGAAAGACTCTGGAGCCTGGGGAGGGTGAAAAACGGGCCTTCCGGTCCCACCGAAAGTCAGGAAATGGGCTGTTTCCTGCCTCCAGAGGGCTTTGGGGGGGTGGGGAAGGCCATTTTCGCCCTCCCCAGGTTCCAAGAAAGCCTCTGGAGCCTGGGGAGGGTGAAAAACGGGCCTACGAGGCCCACCATGCCATCTCATGCCAAAAGCAGGGGAAGCGGGGGAGGGGAGGTGTCACACGGGCATGTGGGGGGGGGCAGGGCACATTGAATTATGGGTGTGGGCCCGCATGCGCCCCCCCCCCCCCCCCCCCGCTTTCGGCACACGACAGCAAAAAGGTTAGCCATCACTGTTATAGTCTGATGTATAGCGTTTCAGATGTCTGTCAGTCTGGGTTTTAAAATCCCACCACGTCTTGCCATCCTCATTTTCTAAGGCTTTTTTTTTTTTTTTTAACGTGTGAGCAGTTTTGCTACCAGTAAAGCCGAACTTTCTTCATAAATACCAATCCACAATTTTTGCAAATTCAATGGTGTTGTGTATATTCTCCGTTGGAGCAATTTGGCTACAGCCACTAATGAGGGGATTCTACACTTCCCGCTTCGAACTTACAGAGTCAGCGTTTTCTGCCTTTTGAAATATGTTCAGTTTTGGCTTTAACGATATGAATTTGAATCGCCTGTCTCTAGCTGCTGTGATTATTCCTTCAGGGTTTTTTCTTTTGTTTTGTTTTTAAGAATTCCAGGTTCCTACTGCTGCCAAGTCAAATGTTGATTTGATTTACCTTCAGTGTCATGTCCCATATATATGTATCATGAAGAGGTTTAGATTTCCGGACAGTAATACAGCCTTCAGTTGCTTCTTTTTTTTTGTAATTTTCTTCTGATTTTGTAGTCTTCAGCAGTTTTTCGCCACGTGGAGTGATTCCTACCTGTGGTTGATAGTGTCAGGCCTGGAAGCCATCTTTTGCATTGGGCCTTCAGGCCTGCCATATTTACTACTGTGGGAAACTGGGAGGGGGGATTGTATGGAGCCGGTGTTGTGGTTCGCCAGCAGCCTGTGGAGCTGGCAGCGGAGTCGGACAGCGATGAGGCTGAGGAAGAACATGGGCCAGTCCTAGAGGCTGGGGAAGGCCCAGATGAGGGCCCACAATTTAGCCTGTTTCGAAAGAGTGGCGCAGCGTCACATGGATTCTATGTTTAGAAAATTAAAGGACAAATTACCTGAGTCTTCCATCCTCTGCAGCAGCTCCTCCTGGTATTATCTTAGTAATAAATATTCCGGGATCGTCCCCGATATGTGGGTTATCTGTTCCTCCAGCAATACTGAATCCCAGGCCAGAATTGCCCTACAGAAAAGAGAAAGAGGGAGAAAAAAATAAATAACAATATAACTGTCACAGAAAGGGTATCCTTGACTATACAAGTGTAACAGAATAACACAAGGGACCTTGGAGGTCTTCTAGCCCAACCCCCCTGCTTAAGCAGGAGACCCTAGACCAGTGTTGACGAGCCTTTTCGGCACCGAGTGCTGAAACGGGACGCGTGCATGCATGCGCAAGGGAGCACTGGAAACCGGAAGAGTAGCTTCCTGATGCACACACGTGGGAGCGCCAGAAACCGGAAGAGCAGTTCCCTGGTGTGCATGCGCGTGCCGGGAGCCTGAGCTTCCGGTTTCCAGCATGTGCATGCACACCAGTCACCTGGTCTTCCAGTTTCTGGTGCGCATGCACATGTGAAGACTAGCTTACCAGTGCGCATGTGCATGCCAAAAACCGGAAGCTCAACATGTGTTTGCCGGAACCCGGAAAAGCAATTTGCGATGGCTGGCATGCCCAGGGAGATGGCTCTGTGTGCCATTTCTAGCACGCGTGCCATAAGTTCGCCATCACTGCCCTATACCATTCTGGATAATTACCGGATGACAGCTACCATGTCACCTGTAAACCTTCTCTTTGTTAGGCTAGACATACTTAGTTCCCTTAACAGAATAACAGAGTTGGAAGGGACCTTGAAGGCCTTCTAGTCCAACCCACTGCTCAAGCAGAAGATCCTATACCAGGGGTCAGCAACCTGCGGCTCTAGAGCCGCATGTGGCTCTTTCACCCCTCTGCTGCAGCTCCATCACTCAAAATATGCATCACAATCACCAATGTGCGACACCCATCGGCACACGATTTATTGAGCTTTTCAACCCCCAGTAGGCCAACCATGGATAAATCCAAGACAAGAAAAGTTTCAGAAGAAAACAGAACGTTTAATTCAACTACATATGCTAGTTTTGTGGCCATTCAAGAAATAATCAGGCATGGGAAGGGTTTTGTGGCTCCCGGTGTTTTTTTTCCTGTGGGAAAGGGGTCCAAATGGCTCTTTGAGTGTTTAGGGTTGCAGACCCCTGTCCTATACCATTACAGGCAAATGGTTGTCCAACCTTCTCTTAAAAACCTCCAGGTTTTTCAGGCCAGCAGAATTCCACTGATTAATTGTTTTAACTGACAGGAAATTTCAGCTAGAAAGTCCTGGGGGGAATCTCTCTTTGACAAGCTTTCACCCACTACTTCTTGTCCTGCCCTCAGTGTGGTGGTTTAATGATTTAAAATACAAATAATAAAGCTTTTGGCTCTTTAGACCAGGGGTGTCATACTGGATTTCTTCGAGGGCCGGATCAGCATTGTAGTTCTCCTCCACAGGCCAACTGGGGAAGGGAGGGGAGGGAGTTGGGATGGACGTCTCCTACAGCACCCTGCCGGCCAAAACGGGGCACGAGGGGGCCACATGCAGCCCAGGGGTGGGTTCCACTTACCTTTACTACTGGTTTACAATGGGGCCGCGCACATGCGCGGAAACATTTTTATGACGTCAGGGTCAGTGGGCAGAGCCTCCCGCCGGTTTTACTACCGGTTCTATAGAACCAGTGTGAACCGGGGGCAAACAACACTGGTGCAGCCCCACGCACCCCATTTTGGCCAGCAAAGTGCTGCAGGAGGCCGTCCAAGCTGAAAACAGGGCGCGGGGCCCCCTGCAGCCCCCCCATGCCCCATACTGGCTGCCAGAGGCACCGCAGGCCGATCCTTTGCTATTTCCAGGCCGGCCCGGCGGACCAGATTTAAGTACCCCGCGGGCCAAATGAGGCCCACAGGCCTTGAGTTTGACACCCCTGCTTTAGACCAAAGTCTGAAAGAATATTTGGACTTGGCAATCCAAGAACCAGAAAGTTTTACAACGACAAGCAGATTAGATCCCCAGATGGTTAAATGCTGCCTATTGATTCATTTCCCATTTGCTAAAGAGCTGGGCCGCCTCAGCACAAAGCCTTTTAGAGTATCGTACTTTAATAACCCAACTTTAGCTTATTGTTGCAAAATAGCTCTTCCCTTTATGAAGAAAAACCAGAGAAGATTCCAGCTGCTCTTCACACCGTATTTTAAAGCATCTTGGAAGACAATCGGAGCTCCAGTGGCTCGCTAAAATTGCTTTTGGCCACAAAGGTTCTTGCAAGACACCCACTGGGAATACCACGGTGACAAAACAACAATCGGTGTTATTTGGGGGCTGACCATTTATGGATGCCTCTATCTGTATGAATTCTGGAGTGGGTATTGGGATAAGGGATGATAAGCCTCAAAGAGTTTTATCAAAAATCTTTGTTTCTGTTTTGTGCTTTCCTCCTTGATAGGATAATCCAGTGATGGGAAACTTTTTTGGGCTCAATGGGTCAAAAATTCAGAAAAATGCCTAACTTGACAGTGCTGGTGTGTTAAGGCGAAGCGCACATCGACGTGAGTGATGTTGAGTTGGCCACGCCCACATGATCACATAACCACCGAGCCACGCCTACCCAGCTGGTCATTAGGGCAGAGAACCGGTCGTTAAATTATTTGAATCCCACCACTGGATGTATTACTTGGAACCCTGACAGGGCTCTCCAACCTTTGGGCCACGGGCAGCTACCAGTCCATGGAAATTTTTTCCCCCACTGGTCCCTGGTGTCCAAGCGATCGAGGGCCACTGACATAATGTATACTTGTGGGTGGAAGGAAAGAACAAGAGGAAGAGTTGACAGTGTTCCTAGCAAACCAGAGGTCTTAAAAAAAAAAAAAGGATAATTTATTTATTTATTTATTTTAAAATTTATATACCGCCCTTCTCCCTGAGGACTCAGGGCGGTGTACAGCCAGAATTAAAAAACATGAAATACAAATATTAAAAACAATTAAAATATATATAAATTTGGCCCAAAATTAAAAATACAAACCAATTAAAACATTTAAAATTTCTTCTTAAGCCAGCCCGGCTTGCTGGAAAAAGTGGGTTTTAAGGGCACGGCGGAAGGCACCAAGGTCTTGGATTCTCCTTATCTCTGGAGGCAATTGATTCCAGAGGGTAGGTGCCCCCACAGAGAAGGCCCTCCCCCTGGGGGTCACCAGCCTACATTGATTGGCTGATGGCACCCTGAGGAGGCCCTCTCTGTGGGAGCGCACAGGACGATGGGAGGTCGTCGGTAGCAGCAGGCGGTCTCGAAGATAGCTAGGCCCGATGCCATGGAGCGCTTTAAAGGTGATAACCAACAACTTGAAGCGCACCTGGAAGACCACTGGGAGCCAGTGCAGCTCGCGCAGGAGTGGTGTTACATGGGAGCGCCATGCTGCTCCCATCACTACCCGCGCTGCTGCATTCTGGACCAGTTGGAGCCTCCGGGTGCTCTTCAAGGGGAGCCCCATGTAGAGAGCGTTGCAGTAGTCAAGGCGAGAGGTGACGAGGGCATGAGTGACTGTGCACAGGGAATCCCGATCAAGAAAGGGCCGCAACTGGCGAATCAGGCGAACCTGACAAAAGGTCCCCCTAGTTACAGCTGTCAGATGTTCCTCCAAGGACAGCTGCATATCCAGGAGGACTCCCAGATTGCGAGCCCTTTATGTGGGGGCCAAAATAATGTCAAGTTCCAAGAAATTACCCAGAATGGTATGTCAGCAACACACTAAACGCTTTTTGGATTCGACCCAACAGAAGCCAACGCACAAAAGAAAGGCTCAGCACCTTTGCCTGTACTCTGAAGACCTGAAAACTGCTAGTAATTAATTGTCTTGTGATCCTTGACCTGATCAAGAGTCAGTGAGATTCTTACCTGGAGTTGTCCCATTATTGAGTACATGTTCTTCGAGGACACGCAAAGACACAAAAGGGCAACAACAACGTGAGGGTAAAAGATTGGTTGTGCTTCTTCTGGGAAAATTGAAAACTCTAATCCACGGCAAAGCTTTTGTCATCTTTCACAGAATAACAGTATTTTCGATGGAAGCTTTCAAAAGGGGATCGAAATTGGCTCGTAATTGGGCTGGAGAGGAACATTTTGATTGTCGAGACTTCAAAGCCATCTCTGCAAGGTGTGTGTGTGTGTGTGTGTGTGTATTTATACAATATCAGCAAAGTGCCTTTTTTCATAACAGCTGCTGGGCATACCACACAAACATTATACAAATAGTCCTTGACTTACGACCGTAATGGAGACTATCCATTACTGCCATATATTATAATTGTCATAAAATGGTGTTTGTTCAGTAAACACAGCAGTTGTAAAGCAGCCATCGTATAAGGTTTCCTGCTTGAGGGGGTTGGACTAGAACACTTCCAGGTGTCAGGGTTCCAAGTAACACCCCCAACGAAAGAAAACTCCAAGGAAACTCCTTGAGTTTCCTCAAAGTTCCATTTTATTAGTGAGGTCATATTGACACATCTGGGAAAAGCCGAATCTGAAAGCTTCCGGGTTTTCCCCACCCAAAAGAAAGTCCAAGACTCTTCCCCTGCACCCACATGTCCATCACATGGTCCAATCCAAGCACCGTCCCAACTGGAGATGCAGAGGTGAAATGTAAAATTTGTTACTACCGGTTCTGTGGGCGTGGCTTGGTGGGTGGGCGTGGCCAACTTTAAAAAAAAAAACTTTTCAAAGCATTTTTTCTAATGCTTTGAAAAGCCTCTGCCGATCAGGAAACTCAGCTGGGATTGTCAGAGAGGCTTTTTAAAAAATGCTTCTCTGCCCATCAGGCAACTCAGCTGGGATCGTCAGAGACTTTTCAAAGCATTATTTTTACCACCTCTTCGGCCAAGAGGTTGCAGAAAAAAATGCTTTGAAAAGCCTCTGATGATTCCAGCTGAGCCACGCGATCATTAGCGGCTTTTTTTTTTTTACTTTTAAAAGCATTTTTTCATCGGAAGAGGTTGTAGAAAAAATGTTTTTAAAAGTTAAAAAAAAAAGTCTCTGATGATCGTGATGCTCAGCTGGGCATGGTGGAGGGGGGGTGCACAGGGATTTTTGCTACCGGTTCTCCAAACCACCCGCCGCCATCGC